ACACACACACACACACACACACACACACACACACACACACAGAGCTACAAAAACAAACTTTATTAAAAATCTGAACCTGCATGAACAACAGCGAGAAAAATAACCTCTGGGCGGCAGGGCCGCTTGCGGCGGATAACACTGAAGACGGGCACAGCACCAAAAAGAAATATTTAAAACTAAACTGGGAATTACCCGCCGCGTCTATAACCTCCGGCAGCTCCGCAGCTTATAGGCAGTGCCAAGACCGCCGATCGCATTGCACAGACGGATGCCCCCCCCCCCAGCCCAATTATTTTGCAGCTGCGCCTGGCACGCCAATGAAGGACGAAAGCCGGCTGCTCCGACATTACTTCATGGGGAGCGAGCGGGATCGGGGCCCTGCGGGGAGCACTTTCCCCAGAGAAGCCACTCAAGGGCAGTTATTGCTCAGACAGTTGCATAGAGAAGGAGGAGCATCGCCCCACATTTGTGCTTAAGGCCTGTCACCCAGGCCGCGCCAGCCAGGCCCACAGGCCGCGCCAGCCAGGCCCACACGCTGCCCGTGATGGAGGAAGAGGCTGGGACAGAGTTTGCTCCGAGTTCAGAGCTAGAAGTGGTGGACGGGCTGGGCCATTCGCAGCCTACTTCACCTACGGCAGGCGAGCAGCCAGCCTTGCCCACTCCCGCCGGCGCCACAGGCTCCAAAGGGTTCCCTGAGCCCTGGGCACTGTGCCCGGCGCTCCTGTACACAGCCAGTTCCCCCCCGGCCTGGGCCCGTCCATTTTCGCTCTGGCTCACGCCCAGACACTTTGCATAGTCACAAGCCCCGCACGGGGCCATTGTCACGAAACGAACCACATCAGCTGAGACAGGACAGCTCTGCCCGGCGGCTTCACACCTCGGCTGCTTTCTGCACCGGCTCAGCGCTAAGGCACAAATCAGCCTTTCGGGGTTCAGGGGGGATGTTGGGGGCCAGCTGGAGGCGACTTAAAGGGGCCTGATTTGCAAAAAAAAAGTCTGGGATTCTGACTCCTTTGAGGGGGGCAGGTTGGACCCCCCGCCTCCATCACTAGTTGCTTTGACCATTTAGCTCAGCCCTGGTTTAGCCGGTCTCTAGGCTCCACACAGCCGGATCCGGAGACAGTGGTGCTAATCCCCATAGCCAGCCTCTCCCTCAGCTCCCTGCTCCTCAGGCCTGAGTTCCCAGTGCAGCCAAGCACCCCTGGGCTCCCCCCTGCACGCTGGAAACGCGGGCTAGCAGCCGGCAGGGCAGTGCTCCAGCACCCCGGCTCAGGGGACGGGACTCCTTCAGGGAGCAGCAAAGATGGAAGCAGCGAAGGCAGGTGGAGGGCTGGGGACGCGCCAGGCCACCCAGCCGCTTGTTGACAGGGTAGAGGGGACGTGGAGCCGAACCAGAGGTTGGGGGGGACACGGACACCTCGCCGTGCACTGCATTAGCACAGGACTCCCTAGGCAGAGAAGCTGTAACGGCCGGGCCTAGAACAGGGGCTTAGGGAGCCCCGCGACTGATGCTGACGGGGTAGACGGGGGCAGCCGCTCGGGCACTATGCAGTTAAAGGGGCTCTGGCTGTGGACGTAAGTAAGTGAACCACAAACAAAGCAGGTGAGCAGGAAACATTCAGACACACAAATCCTGAAGCCGGGTTTTCCTCATGTCCACAGGGAGACGCTCAAGGGTGCTGGGCCTAAGAGACCGCTCGGAGGCCTCTGGTTTCTTTGGTGTTAGGAAGCCGTTCCTGCCCCCCCCCAAACCCATTACTGATGGGGGGGAGCTGGCAGCATTTCCTAGCAGGGGAACAGGAAGTCAGCTGCCCGGCACGCACCTGTCAGCTGCAGGTCCAAAGTTCTCCTCTTGTGCAAACAAACCCGGCTCCCAGTGGGAGGAGGAAGAGATCAAGTTACTGTGCCCACAGGCAGCCCTCTTCCCACGCACCCCCACGCCAGCCTGTGCCTGCAAACCGGCTAACGCCCCGGATCTCAGAGCAGCCAGGCGCAGCCCGCCGACAGCCCGCAGGGGGCAGCAGTCCAGGAGCCGTGGGAAGTGGGCTCTGGAAAGTGGGGTTATTTTTCCTGCTGGGGGCAGGATGCCCAGAGAAAAGGGGCTGGGCTCAGCTCAGCACCCGAGGGAGGGGACCCCTGCGCCCCAGGAAAGCCACCCTGCTACGGGCAGAGCGCTCTTGCAGGCACTGGGCGTGGCAGCTGCTCTTCTGCCATCACTTGGGGGCTGCCCCCCTCCTGCGCAGCTGAGCCCCAGGGGAGCAGGAGAACGAAATGGTCTCTGGGGCTGGACAAGGCCCAGAGCGCTGCCAGCAGGAGGAGACGGGGGCCATTCACCGGTACGACAGTACCAGTGCCCTACAGACACAGGCCTGTGCAGAACCCTCCAGCCCCACAGAGCCCCTGCCCGTGTTCAGGACGGCCGGGGGGCAGGGGCTTTCCCAGTCCAACAGACAAGCAGCCCCTATTCCTCTCTGCCCCCACAGGGCTGGGGGAAGCTCCGCTGGCAGGTTGCAAAGCGACGTGTGGATTCCCCAGAAGGGAAGTGCCCCCAGAACACCTCTTCCCCGCCCCACACATCCTTTGGCTGCGGAAAGCCGGGAAGGGGACAAGTGCCGTGCAGCCGGGAGAGGGACCCGGTCTGGTGCCAGCTGAGGGCAAAGCGCTTCCAGGTCAGATGGGTGGAGTTCAATGCCGACTGCCCGTGTCACTGGCTCCAGCAGGAGGCGCTGCCAGCCTGGCTGGCTCTGGTGCACTCGCACGGACAGACTGGGTTTTACACACACACACACGTGCGCTCACGGGGGCGCTCGGAGAGCAGCGATTGTACCCCACGCCGGCAGGGCGCTGCCGCAGCTCCACCGCCAAATCCGTCCGCACGGCTCCCTCACTCGAAGCCCAGGTGGTTCCGGGACACGGAGAAGTCTGCGCGACCCTCCCCTTCAAAGGAGTCGTCTTCGTCTTCCTCAAAGAGCTGGTCCTCCACAAACGAGCCCCCCAGGCTGTACTCCTGCTCGTGGACGGAGACCTCGTTCGGGGTGAGGTGGGAGGCGCCGCCCACAAAGTCGGCAAACCTGGATATTAACGAGGATGGGGAGCAATTCACTTCCACTGTGGGAAGACGGGATACTGGGCTAGAGGGACCATTGGCCTGACCCAGTGTGGCCATTATGTCCCTTAAAGGTCCCAGACAGCATTAAGCCTCAACCCCCACAGGGGAAATATTAACCCCATGGGGAAACCGAGGCACGGTGGGGGGGAGGGGCGATCAGCCTGAGGTCACACAGAGCTGGGACTAGAACTGGCGAGTCCTGCCTTGCTGTCCCAACCCCACTAGGGTCGCTTAGGCACGAGGCCAGGCCAGCGTAAGGAGCCAACCACCCCGCCTCAGGGCTGATGAAAGGCTCAGCTGCTCCGGGCCCTGCTAACACGCCTGAACGATGCCAGCCGGTGATAGCACAGTCAGGATGTAGCCTGAGTTTTTACAGCAGCCTGCCCTGCTGGAAGAGTACAGATTGCCACAGCGAGAGCGCAGCCAGCCCTGCCCCACGGCCACGCCGGGCACTCCCCTGGGACGTGTGCAGAACCGTGTCCCATCAGCAGGGGGTGCCGTAAGGGGGCTGCCGGCGCCCCCGGGGCGTTTTACCTCTTCGGAGACTGGATGCGGGAAACCACAGTCCAGGCGGAGAACTCTGGGCTGCTACAGTATCCGCGCAGCTCTTCCAGGGCCCTGCGCGTCTCCACCTCCCCCTGGAGCCGGTACTCCTCCTCGGTCAGCAGGCGAGGGGGGCTCGGCTTCGCTGTGGCTTTCTGCACCTTCCTGCCAGCAGAGCAGCGGCGTTAGCAGCAGTTCCCCGCCTCGAGGCACCGCCCAGACCCACGGAGAGCTGCTGGAGCTTCTACCGGGTCCAGCCCTGAGCAGCCAGGAGCCGGCCGCAGAAGTTACCGGCTGGAATCCGCTGGCCTGGGCTACAGGCGCCGAATGGATCCACACAGCTATCTGCCCACCTGTTTAACTCTGCCGAGCCCAGATCGGGAGCCGGCTTCCCCACCAGCACCAGAGGGGGAGAGCTGGTCACCGCTCCCACAAGAGAGGTGACCCCATCCTGCCCCAGAATACAGAGACACCCCCAGACAGCAGCGAGGACACGGGAAAATTCAGTTCTTAAAGACCAGCCTCCATCACCAAGCAGGTGTTGGCGCCACACAGTGGCCAGGTTGGGTATGACCCCATAAAGCAGGGGTTGGCAACCTTTCAGAAGCGCGGTGCCGAGTCTTCATTTATTCACTTTAAGTGAAGGTTTCGCGTGCCAGTCATACACGTTAACGTTTTTAGAAGGTCTCTCTCTAAGTCTATAATATAGAACTAAACCATTGTTGTCTGTAAAGTAAATAAGGTTTTTAAAATGTTTAAGAAGCTTCATTTAAAATTAAATTCAAATGCAGAGCTCCCCGGACCGGGGGCCAGGACCCGGGCAGTGCGAGTGCCAATGAAAATCCGCTCGCGTGCCGCCTTTGGCACGCGTGCTATAGGTTGCCTACCCCTGCCATAAAGTCTTACCCTGCTCCTCACCCTTGGGAGCAGAGCCAGGCCCACCCTGGGCCAGGGCCCGCTCCAGGCACCAGCGAAGGAAGCAGGTGCTTGGGGCGGCCAATACAAAGGGGCGGCACGCCGTCCGGTATCGGGGCGGCACCTCCGGGTCTTCGGCGGGAATTCGGCAGCGGGTCCCTCAGTCCCTCTCTTCCTCTTTGAGCTGCCACCGAAGAGGAAGAGAGGGAGCGAAGGACCCGCTGCCGATTATGAAGCGGCGCAATTGAGTTGCCGCCAAAGTGCCGCCAATCGGCGCTTTTTTTTTCGCCGCTTGGGGCAGTGGCAAAGCTGGAGCCGGCCCTGCGCCGGGCACCTCAGAAAACCCTGCCCTTGGCCAGAGACCCCTCCGGTAAAGGCGAACGATGAACGTCCAAGCACGAGCGACTGGCCCCCGGGCTCAGGTTTCATGCCGCCGATCCCTCCCTCCCCACCCCCCCGTGTCAGCCAAAACCAGGCCACGGCTCTGGCTTGGGAACTCCCTTCTTAGCCAAACGCACCCGGGGCCCCACATCCCCTACTGTCATTCAGCCACTCCGCGGCGCGCATGCTTTGCGCGGCCGTGCTGTTAACAGAGCCAGTCGGCTCCTTGGCCTGGGCCAGACTCCTTCTGCGTGAGCGTTCGTCGCCGCCACCCCGCCCCGCCCCGCCGGCAGTGGCCGACCTAGATCCCGTGGCCGGCGCGCCCGGAGCCGTGGCATCACCTGTAAGTGGCGTAGAGCCACTGGACGGGGTACTCCAGGTTCTTGGTGCAGACGGCAATGGCGATCAGCGCCAGGGCGATGGGCCGGATTTGGATGCCCAAGTACATGAGCAGCAGGCCCAGAAGCTGCAGGCTCCACGTCAACAGGTTGATGTTACGTTCGTTCTCCAGCGGGCCGTACCGGTAGCACACGGCGAAGCTAGCGAAGCCCACCAGCAGCATGTAGCCTGGGAGAGGGCGGAGAGAGCAGGACAGAGGGAATTCAACGCAGGCCGCTACGAACAGGACGGACGCCCGGCACCTCCGCCTCCTTTTGGGCCCAGGGTCCCTCACAGACTCGTCGGCAAGTTCACGGCCAGGCCCCCTGTGAAATCAGCCAGGAATTCCACGCCTGCCCCGTAGGACGAGGACTGCACAGAGCAGGAGGGCGGGAAGCATCCTGACCATTGGTGCGGCCCATGCAGCATGCACCACGTAACCGCTCCTTCCCCGTCCCTTGTGCCGCCGCCGGCACTGCTCCTACAGCCCCAGGTCCCTTCCTGGTCAAATGATTCTAAATCCTATTTGGACAGGGGCTGCTCGGCCCCCGCCCCCTCCTCCCACCCACCAGCCGGCAGCTGACCAACAGCCCCGTTGGTAGCTGCGTAGAAGGGAGACGGGCGTGGGAGTCCCAGCCTCTCCCACGCCCCCGTCACACAACCAGGCGAACCTGCCTTTGCATGAGGCGCCGAGAGGCACTCACCCAGGAGATATTGCCAGTAGGACTTGCAGATCTCTTGTAAGTTTCTGAAGACCAGCTGGATGAGGTAGAGGGAGAAGGACCAGCCTCCCACTAGGATGAAGTAGATGGGACTTTTCTAGGGCAGATGGAAAGACGTGAGAACAAGACAGGTGCTTCCACGTGCCTGCTAGAGCCGAACTGCCGCTGTTTGACGTTCACCCCAGGGAAAGACTGTCTGCTAGACAGGTCCTACGTCAAGGGGCAGCGCAGCCTAGCGGGGCAGGTACCGGACCTGGGTTCTGTTCCCAGGTCTGCCACGTGACCTGGAGCAGGTCGCTCTGCTCTTCAGCCTCTCTTTCCCCTCCCACCGCTTGCCTAGTTCGGCTGCAGACACTGCCTGTCACTCGCTGTGCAGCGGCAAGGGGGCCCTGATCTCCGCTGGGTGCTACCCTACGTGAGCCAGACCATGTGGGTGTTCTTCGGATCTGTCCCCTCCACAAACAGCCAGCAGCTCTCCCGACACCCAGAGCACCTCCATGCTGGGGTGGCACGTTTTTAGCACCAGCACGAGCCGCTGCATAGCTGCTACCAGCTGTGTGAGCTGCGGCCCAGCATGACGCTTTAACCACTGTCTACCTTGCTCAGAGCAGGGGTTAGACACCGGAACCACCCTACCCCAGTATTCCTGCCTCTGGCGCCTGGACACTGAAAGGCTCTTTCGCGTTTCCCCCAGCACAGACCGGACCGGAGAGCCGCAGGGGACGGGAGTTCGTAACCAGATTCCCAAGTTATAGCCCTTCGGCGTGGTCAGTTCCGGCTCCGTAGCGCCCGATTCCCAGACCGGAACCGCAGCCTCACCTTGGGCATCACCTTGGCCATCACGTAGATGAGGATCAGCAGCGAGGCCAGCATCCCGATGCTTATCCCAGCTGAGTAGTGGAAGAGCTGACTCCTGCGGAGATCACGCATGAGCTCGAGAGACGTCCGCCCGCACGGACGCAGCGCGAACAGAGCTTCAGGCCGACACACCCCGGACAGCAGGAAGCCAACGCGCCGGCCGCCTCGGGATCGTTAAAAGGGAGCTCAGGTGGCGTTCGCTGTGCCTTGGTAAGAGGGGCCTGCACAAAGCCATGCTCCATGGAGCGACAGGCCTGAGCCAAGGGGAGCCACAGTGGTGGGAGATCTCCCTGATTTAACTGCTGGGACACCAGGCCACAGCCTGCGAGCTGGTAGGCGGCCACCCAGCTGTGGATGTTAGCAGCCCTTGGTTTATTGAGCTATTGAGGGACAGGGGCAAGGCTGGGGTGGGCACCGCTCCGAGATGCCCTGCTGCACCTGGGCACAGCAGCGCAAGTCAACAGCGGCACCCCTGAGGTCGCGTTTCCTCCGCGTGGCCCAGACCATTAACACAGAGATTGGGGTGGTCGAGCGCACAGGACGGCAGTGGTCTGGTCTTCCAGCACGGGGCGACTCACCTGCTCAGTAAATCCCCGGAGAAAAACAGGAGCAGGCCCAGGAAGGAAACCAGGCAGAGCTTGGGGTCAAACCCTAAAAGAGACAAGACAGTATTAGAGAAGCCCCCGAGCTGGTTACTTTGTGCAGATCCCACGTGACAACATGGCCCGGTCCCAGCAGTCCGTGGGGAGCGGCTGGGACATACCCAGCACGACGGACAGAGGCAGACCCCCGAGCTGGATATGCCTGGACGTGGGGCAAATGGATCCTGTCTCCGTATAAACGGCCCCAAGGCCCAGACGCTGCTATAAACCTGGGGAATCTCAGACCAAGGAGTCTAACACGGCTTTGCTGTGGATGGCACCAAAGGGCCCTGGGGCTGGAGGAAACGGATGGATGCACCCCGCTTCTCTTCCAGAGGCGTATACAGTCCATGTTGGGGGAGTGCTTCTCTCCCCCCACCCAAGCAAAGAAGGAACCTTAGACCTCGGGCTAACATGTGCTGTAACGTCCTCTAACAGATACCTGGTACCGCCAGGAGCCCAGTCTAGGCCCGAAGCAGCTGAACCAAGCTCCCAGCGGAGTTGGGTGCCACCACCTGTCCTCACCACCTTCTCCTCAGATCTCCTCCGTTTCCCCCATCAGCCCAAAGGGCAGTTTCAAGGCGCTCACCCCGAGACCCCCATGGGAGACTAGCTGGGTTCTTCTAAACGACGTGGCATCCGGCAAAGCCCAGGCGGGCAGTAGCCAGGCAAACCTAATCCCGCACTGCGGGACTGAGCAGGTGCCTCACATCCTGAGCTAAGCCACCGGAATTGCACCGCCTTCCCCGAGCAGGCCCACGAAGCCCCGAGGGGCAGCCTGATCCCCAGCGTGGCTTACACCGGAGGAGGACGACGCTGTAGTTGGTGTTTGACTCCGGCAACTCTATTTTCAGGCAGGTTTTCTCGCTGTAGAGATCCACGGGGATGTAGGTGTCGTTCAGCTTCTCTTTGAAGAAGGAGAAGACGAAGTTCCACATGTTGAATTCCTCCAGCTCTCTCAGCTTCTCCTCGTTTTCCACCTGGGTGACACGGATCATCTTGTTGCTGACGACTCGGATCTGCAGACGGGAGAGGAGAGGAGAGGGACTCGCACACCCACGCTGCACCACAGGGGTGGACACAACGGGGTCTTCGACTAAGCCAGCGCGCGATGGAGACAAAACTAGATGGGGGATCAGAGCTGTGCAGCTAACGGCTAAATATTTATTGCTTGGCACTTTGTGAAGGGCTTCACATACGTCAGCTCGCAGTCCACGGGGCAGGTTCGTTCCCTTCCCTGATCTGTGGTCTCAGGACAACGAAATCACTGCTAATCTGGCAGGAGTGCCAGAAGAGGTGGTCTCGGAAACGCTATTAGAGATACATGGTAACATTTCCAAACTCAAAGTGACAATCAACACTTCACTTAGATGAGTTTGGAAGCGTACCTACTGCTAGTTCACCGAAGCAGTTCGACCAGCGGCTCTCAACCTTTCCAGACGACTGTCCCCCTTTCAGGAGTGGGATCTGTTTTGTGCACCCCAAGTTTCACCTGACTTCAAAACGACTTGCTTACAAACTCGGACATAAAAAGACACGTGCAACACAGCCACACTGTTGGTGAAAATGAGAAAGGAAGCAGTTTTTCACTATGTACTCCTCTACCCCGATATAATGCTGTCCTCGGGAGCCAAAAAATCTTACCGTGTTATAGGTGAAACCGCATTTATCAAACTGGCTTTGATCCGCTGGAGTGCGCAGCCCCCCACCTCCCCCGAGCGCTGCTTTACCGCGTTCTAGCCGAATTCGGGTTATATCGGGGTAGAGGTGTAATTACAAAATCAATCAATTGGAATATAAACATTGTCCTGACATTTCAGCGCACGGTAAACAGAGCAGTATAATCACGTCATTGCACGTACAAAATTTTGGTTTGTACGGACTTTGCCAGTGCTTTTTAGGAGCCTGTTGTAAAAGGAGGCAAATCTCTAGCCCAGGTGCCGTACCCCTTGGAAGAGGTCTGCGTACCCCCAGGCATACACGTACGCCTGGTTCAGAGCCACTGAGTTAGAAAAACCACTGGCCAAGGCGTCAAGCCAGTTTGTAGGTCCGTGCAAGGGCTCGGAGAAATACAGATGCTTCTCACTCTGCAGAGAAAACATACATCGCCGTTGCCAGTAACTGACTTCTCACATCCTGCATCTGGATCCCTACAATCACCTTCATGTCTAAGCTGCCGACTCTCTCAATGCCTCCTTTTCTCATCAGCAAGAAACCTGGCCGTGAGCATCTAGAAACGTGAGTTACGAGAAGAGCTGGTCTCAGAGTTAGAGACATTTGCAGGGGACTAGTTGAAGGATGAGGGAGGATTTCAAGGCACAGGCCCAGCAGCGAGAAAGTCTAGAGTGTTCCTACCTTTGCCGCTTGCTTCCTGCATGCACTTGTGTTGCGGATTGTGGGGGAGTTAGGGCCCTGCACCCCTCTTCCCGAGATTCACTGCGACTCTCAACCAGCCAGTAAAGCAGAAGGTTTATTTAAGGACAGGAACACAGTCTCAAGCAGAGCGTGTAGGTACGACCAGACCCCCTCAATTAGGTCCCTCTGGGAGGTTCAGGGAGCTTAGACCCCAGCTTGGGGTTCCCTGCGTTGCACCACCCAGCCCCAACCGAAAACTAAACTCAAAACTCCTCCCGCTGCTCCTCTCCTTTGTTCAGTCTCCCGGGCAGAAGGTGTTAATTGTCCCCCCCCCCGTTCCTGGCTCA